CCGGAAGAGACATAGCACGTGGAACTAGAACAATCTACCCCGGTGATCGAAACGAAGAGTTTGATTCAAAATAACAATCACCTGAAGAATTCCGGGGCGTACAACGGCCGAAACGTCGTGAATATGGGAAAAAAATAAGGATAACAGTCCAAACAATGTAAATAGCGTAAATAATCTTTCAATTTCTCGAAAGCAAGGTAAATGGAAAAAGAATCATTTGATAAGTGTACCTCAGTAAAATTCGGCTCGTGTCACTTCTGACAACGACAGAAGCCAACCTCCTCGAAGAAAGCGCGCTCGTGTCAAACCAAACAATTACTGGCCTTTGTTGAAAGAAGAAACATTAAAAACTGACATACTGCGCCCGGATCGTTAGCAATTTAGAGTTGCCGAGATAAATACGTAAACAACACTTGCCCGCGCAAACAATTATCCATACTTCTATTTACACTAGCGTTTATTCCTCGGGAATAAGAGTCATGGATGGAGATTCGAAAAGATGGTGAGGAGCGGTTAGTGAGTGAAGGCAGTCAGAGACAACTAACGTCGAACTTATCTTCTATCTAACTGTTAACATATGGATTTCAAGAATAGTTGATATTTACTACAGATATAAGGTTAAACCATTCAGATGATTGCCGATATTTATAAGTGACTAGCAGTAGAGCCCGGCGTTGCCCGGGGATGTAACAGTTAGGGGGAGAGATCAAGTATCGACCATCATAAAGACTGAAAAATAAAATTGACAAAGATTATTGTTTAAGGTTGACGGACATGCATGTCTTAATTAGTTCTTTTTTTTTTTTGTTTTTTTTTGTTTTTTTTACGAATTGGTCAATCCCAAACTCAAACAAAAACATTGTTTTCAATCGTTATGAGTCTATCGATTGAATAGAATTTTATTATAAACAATTGTCTTGTAAATGGAATTTCTAGAGCATTCTGAGTGTGAAAGACAATAAGAAACACTACCCGCCAAAAAAACGTGAAGTTTTGTTGAAATCGGTTGAAAAATGTAGGAAATCTGATCCCATATATAAACGAACACACACAAACAACCTGGGTTTTACAAGTATAACTCGATATGAGTTGTCCCCCTTTCATTCTGGCGACAGAATAGTGTTTTTAAATTGATTTCGTGCAAAAACAATTGTGTTTTTCCCATTTTTGGCGCTGTCAGAACCACTGCAAGGTAATTTTATGCAGTCCTGTGAAGTTTTGTTGAAATCGGTTGAAAAATGTAGGAAATCCGATCCAATATATAAACGTACAGACACACACACACACACACACAATCTGCGTTTTATAACAAGTAAAATATTTTACGAGCCAAAAACCTTCATAGAAAAAGACGAAATTACATATTATTCACAATTACCTGCGTTGGTTGGTCAGTTTGTTGTTTTTACTGAGAGGCAATTTATAAAAAATATAGATTTCGTCATTAAATAACAATGCTGAAATCTAAATATTTTGTGCGTAATTTTATTTTTTTTTTATTATTTTTGGAGATAATAAAGGTTTTAGTGATACAAGTCTTACTAATTAACCCGTAGCTGGGGGGGTAGAAGAAGAGAAGGATTCATACCTTTTTCAAGGGTACATGCGCTAAATATTGACTAACACAACTTGAAATGGAATTCGATTCTCCGACTAAATATTTCGAGCCATTATTCTTTACACCAATCCCACATTCAAGCTTACAGCACGTGGTATTCCCTAAAGGTCACCTATCTAGGTACTGACCTTGACTCGACGTTATTTAACGGTGATCGTAGGGGAACCAATGCTTCAACGTAATATGGCCGTAAACTCAATTACCAGCGTAATTAACACTTTTCCTACATGGAAAATATGTTACTTCAAATATGCTAGTGAAAATTAAAGCGCTACATTATGTGATTATTTCAAACCAATTCAGTGTATATTGCTTTGCTACGACTGCAGACGAATAGTAAATAAACTCTTTATTCTAGTATCATTACGAATATTAAGAGAACTGACAGATTTTTTATTCAAATCTGATATTTGGATGTTCATTAATAGGGCTTAAATTGTTAGATTAATACAGAGCTTTTTTTAAATAATTTCACACCAGTCAAGGAAATAAAACCACTAATATTGCATGTACCTCTCATGGGGGTGGTCTTCGGTGTCGACGCCCATTCACTCATATGTTGTATCTTCCCTCTCTCGTTTTTTCTCTCGTCTTCTCCCGGTGAACAAAGGGAATCTTAAACTTAACTATTTTATTTACGTTCACGTATGCATCTCTATCTATCTCGTTGGGTCGATTTCTCACCCCACTGGGAAGCCGCTTCCCAGACACGAAATAAACATGTATGACGGTTTTGAATTCGACTCCCGGAAAAACCTTTCTCTATCATTCCCAGACTAGCTCAGCTAATCAAAATCGACTTCCTTTATTTTGTCTTGTATCTGACTCCTAAGGTCAAACTGAGGAAGTCAGAACAGAAATACACTGCTAGACTATTATTTAACACTAAGTCGCAAGGAGTTACTGAGTGGGAAACAATGCGAAAAAATATTATTAAGGAGGGAGAAGAATAAAAGAAGAGGAATCAAGAAGACGATCAGAAGATAACGATTGACATTGCATCTAAATTTGTGAAGATCAAAATTGACTAGAAAGCAAAAAGGCGGGAAAGATTTCCACATGCGTGAAGTGCGAGGAAAGAAACTTTTAGCAAAGAAAAGTAAAATGATGAGACCTTGTTGCCAATCTTGTATTGCGTTTAAATTCACAAAATTTAGGTACTATAGTGCAAAGTTCATCTGAAAATTACCATGAATGTATTTATTGAAAAGGCACAGGGAAGATACGTTATGGCGGTGGCAAGTGACTGAAGCCAAGATGCATCATTGTAGAATTTGATCAAGAATCTATAAATATATAGCAGGAGTACCGGATCACATATGGCAGCAATATTCAAACTGTAGAGAAACTCGGCTCTTCGATTTCCAATTCCAATCCGTTATCCATTCCACCACCCGCACATGATATTTTTATTTCTCTGTTCATCACCAACCTTTATTAAATCCATTTTTAAAGAATCTAACGTATGTTTATCTACCATAATCGACGTTTACATAAAAACGTTCCCAAATCAACATGATGGCAACCACTAGACATAAATAATGTTAACTAGACATGCATACACGCACACTTACGAATATACATTATCATCACTCACTTAGACAAATTAGAATCTTGATACTTACATATATAAAGCAATATTTTAAGATTTTTTTTTCAGTTAAGCTTTTTTTCCGTTAATTTCTTGTAACTTCGAAATGACGTGTCGTCTCTCCTTGAATTCAGAACACCATAAATTATTACGAACGTTTGTTTAACAAGTCGAATGCAGTTGAAACCTGAAAATCAAGCAATAAAAATAACAATACCAGAATTTCTTTCTTTTTTCTTCCATATCTCATTCTCTGAAGTCGCTTCAATAAAAGTGAAACATGTTAAATTGATAAACACTCCTTTTTTCTTTATTCTATCATTCATATATATATATATATATATATATATATATATATATATATATATATATATATATATATAGTAACTTATTTAATTACACTGAAACTAAACAGCCAAATTTAGCACCATAACACTATTGCCAAGAGCATTTTTTCCGCTAAAAATCTATTTTACACATAACTAACTACTACTGAATATTTATTTCCGACAGCGATTAACATTTTATTAGTTGACAACTGTGTAGGATCTCCTGTACCATAGCTTTTCACAAACATCACCATTTCTTATTAACCAGCGACGAAACTGTGCCCATATCCATTGTTTGGTTTCCGTAAACGTTCAGCAAGCGTCGATGAATGTCAATATTTTTCTATCCCTGGAAGATGTACGCAGCAGACATGTGCCAACCGTTTTTGTTTTTTTTTGTTGTTGTTTTTTTGTTGTTGTTGTTGTTGTTGTTTTTTGTTTGTTTGTTTGTTTTAAAAAATGATTGGCTCTTATCTGCTTCATGGAAGGTACTATGTTGCCAGACTACCCTTCAGCTGCTATCTGTAACAGGGTAACATATGTATATTAATGGCAAGGGAGATGATACAATGCCTACTGTCATATTACTAAAATAGTTTTCTTTCGCAATTCCTTTCGAAATTCCTTTCTTTTTCTTCTATAATTTGCTTTCTTTTACTCTTTCTTTCTAGTTTTCTTTCGTAGTCTCTAAATTTCTTTCTCATTTCTTTCTTTTTCTTTAATTTTTCTTTCTTTCTGTTTTTCTTTCTTACTCTCTAAATTCCTCTCTCTTTATTTTTTTATTTTTCTTTCTTTATTCTTTCTTCCTTTTTCTTTCTTTCTTTTTTTTTCTACTAGTTTTCTTTATTGCTTTATTTCGTTCCAATTTTTTTCTTCTTTTCTTTCTTTTATCGTCTTTCATTTTCCCTTTCTTTCTTTCTTTCTTTTTCTTTTCTCTGTAGTTTTCTTTCTAAAGTTCTTTGATTTCTTTCTTTTTCTTCTTTAAGTCTTTCTTTCTTTCTAATTTTCTTTCTTTCTAGTTTTCTTTCTCTCTAAATTTCATTCTAAATTTCATCATTTCTTTCTTTTACTTCTTACATTTTCTCTTTCTTGTTTTCTTTTTAATTTTTTTTTCTAAATTTCTTTCTTTTTCTTCTTTGATTTTTCTTTCTTTCTTCATTTCTTTTCTTTCTTTCTTTCTTCATTTCTTAGTTTATTACTTAATTTTTCTCGAAATTTCTTTCTATATTTCTTTCTCGTTTCTTTTTTCTCCTTTCATTCCTTCTTTATTTTTAAATATCTTTCTGTCTCTTTCCAGAGTAGGAGGCATTACTTTTGGATTGACACTCGTATATAAATTTAGATTACACTAACGACCCATAATAGTCGAACACCCAAATCCATGTTACAAGATTGTCATATCAAGCATTACTTTGTAGCAGAACATCATATATGTTTGCATGTAGATAGATAGTTAATCCGCTTACGGTCATACCACATTGAAATATCGGCTCTCGTACGATCACCGAAGTTAAGCAACGACTAATCTGGTTAATATCAAGATGGGTGACCGCTTGGGTATATCAGGTGCTATAAGCTTGGATGTGCGGTTGGTGTAAAGAATAACTGCTCAGAATTGGAAATCGGAGAGCCAAAAGGTTTGGTATATTCACTTACGCACAAATAACGTTTCTATGAATCTATGTCATCTCACCCACCAGGTTATGGTTTAATTAGTAGGCCTTGAATGAATAAATCATTATATCACCCCCTCTCCCCAACAACATCCTTCTTTCTTAGTTGGGTTTGAGGACGGATCACTAGAGTCTGCGAGAAACAAGCCATTTATGCATGTATACTGCTGAATATACATTTGCCTGTTTGGTGTAGACAACTGTATCCAAATTCTATGATACATCACTTCTGAAAGCAGTAAATAGACGAACAATTCCTCTCAAATAAACAGAAGTCATTGTCTCATAATGTTTAGCCCGAGGCTTCAACTAATCCTTGCATTGTGTTGGAAATGTCAATTACTTTGTTAGGAGATGAATGGCCGAATGTATCCCGGCTTTAATTTTCAGTCCTGGAACTAGAGCGATCTGCTGTAAATAGCGCCGAGGTAGAGGCAAAGTGTCCGACAAGGGATTCACGACGAAGATTACAAGAAGACAAGCAGATATGAATCGTCGCTGATATTTATCTCCCTTTTTTTAAAATGTCTGCTCCACAAGCCTAATTTAACTACATTTCTATTCTCGGTTGCCAGCAATCAAGTGATATTATATGTCAGTCTTTTTTAATGAAACTTGTCTCTCTCTCTCTCTCTCTCTCTCTCTCTCTATATATATATATATATATATATATATATATATATATATATATATATATATATTTGGTTGGATAGATGTGAGTTTGTGAACCTGGGTTTCACGCTTTAGCGATCGTCAGAAAAAGTTTGTTTGACGATCGCTAAAGGTCTAAACTCACATCTATACAACAAATATATTAACTCTATCTTTGATATTGAGCGCTTTTTAATAAGTACCGCGCATATAATATATAAATAATTATACATATATATATTTATTTATATTTATATACACTTTTCACATATATATATATATAGTATTTTCTAATGAAACTTGTGTATATATATATATATATATATATATATATATATATATATAGTGCTGTTTTATTTTCCGAACACAATTAGTACATTGTGGCCTTATTCAGAGTTAATATTATTAAATGTTGGATTTTTCTTTTTTTATTATTAAGGCTTCCATTATTTTTAATATTTTTACATGTGGATGAGATTATTAAATAACTGTTTCTGATCAAACCAAATTAATAAATAATTACATCGGTCACACGACTACATGCCTATCCAGACGCCTTACGTTACACCTATCTGAACAGAGCTCTATTAAAACACATTTAAACACACACACAAACCTACCAGACTCCATTCGAAACATACTAGTAGAAAATACAAACATAATAACCTCATCAACATGGGAAGAAAATATAAAAAAGTAAATAACTCACTCAGAAAGAAAATCCTCGAGAGTGTCGCCGTTGAATATTATCCAAATATTATTTACGCCCAGATTTTTCCAAAAATCAACTTTTCTAACAGAATTACTACCCCACCCGCAAACCAACGTACACAACTATATCAAGAAAGCAAAAAAATTTGGTTGAATCCGTAAACACAACAATAAAATCAATATTTCTGCATGTGAAAGTGCTTGATGCAATTTTCAATTGACAATATGAATACAATAGCGTTTTCTAAATTCTTCTAGTTGCTAAGGACATTTTGTTTGTTGTTAATAGTTACTTTGTTTTCAATAAATTCATTTCGCTTTTGCCTTGAAAAAGTTCACATTGGACGAAACGCGTCGGCTAATAACAAATTTTCCTATTGTCTTTTACCTTTATACACACACATATATGTGTACGTGTGTTTGTGGGGTTTTTTACGTGACTGTATATGCGTCACCAAAATATGAACGCACATTGAATTAGAGAAAGATACATTCCAAAAGCTAAAGAAGTAACATAAAAATTTTGTTGCGATGTGTTCAGTCTTCTTTTATGACAATGAATGTTGAGCAATCTCCCCAAAGATGGATAAAAAACTGGAGGCAATAGAAATGGGGTTCTACAGAAGGATACTGAGAATTCCATGGATGGAGCGAAGAAGTTTTAAAGAAAATGATAAGAAAAAAACACTTATGCTCAAAGTCAGAAAGAGACAGCTGACATTTTTAGGACGTATCATAATGAAGGAAAGCTTAACCCTTATAGGGGAGATATCGAGAGCAATAGAGATGGAAGAAGAAGACAGGCAACCTACGCTCTTGTGAACGGATGTCGAAACAGGAGGCGGGAAGCTTGACACATGGAGAAACGCTAGTCACAGACACGAGGGATAGTAAGTTATGCAGAGCCATGATTACCCACGCCCTGAAAGGACACGGCATACATATAGAAGAAAAAGTAGAAAAAGAAGAAATGTTTGATATGTTTTATATACTTATGCATATATATTTACGTTTGCTTACTCAGCTTGTTGATTTTAGTATTTTTATTTGATTTCGAGTACAAATTATAATTGAGTCTGTGTCTCCATAATGAAGCCTGCCAGAAAAAGATTTTCTCCTCTCAAAATATTTCCAGCCTGCAAACATCTTTCTTCTTTTTTATTTATCGCATAGTTGGTTTATATCTTTCTTTTCTTCCGTGATTTTGTCTTTCTGAGCGGACTGACACATGCATATAAAATAAAAACCTTACACACAAACGCAAATCAAACATTGTTCTGCGTGTCTTTGTGTGTACGTGTTTGTCTTGATGTGCATATTCCTGTCCATATGTATCTGGATACTTGTTACCATCTGTGTGTATATCTCTATCCCTGTATATGGCTGTATGTATATTCTTGCTTCTATCACTATCTTTTTGACCCTTCTCTTACTTTACTTTTCTATCTCTCTATTTGCCTTTCTTTCATTCTCTATGTGTTTTTGGATTTCTCCATATTTCTCTGTGTATGTCTGTGTATATTTCTTTATGTATATTCCATTGTGTTTGTATATTATTATTATGTATATTATGTGTTTCTTTGTTTCGTCCCGTCTCTGTTTATAGAGTTGTCTCTATCTGTACGTCTGTGTGTGACTTTGCGTCTATATATCTCTCTGTATGTCTCAGCGTGTGCGCATGTGGGTTTATTTTGGAGCATCTCTACGTTATGGAACACAGTGTGCGACACCTATCATTTTGCGCCAACTTTGAGTTCTTCTTTGTTTTGATACCCATAAATAGACGTCTGTGTACATCGTTTCCATTTATAGATGATGTAGGCCGGTAATATCCATCTATCATATCTTTGAGATGAGACTGTGAAAGATTAGGTTCAAATATAAAATGTTTCTACTTGGAAACATTGACAGGATTCATCAGCATGTCTACCCGCCCAATTGATATTAGAGATATCAACTTGGAAGGCTAACAAGTCTTCTATCTATCTAGCTATCTATCTGTGTCTGTCGGTCTGTCTGTCTCTCTCTCTCTCTCTCTCTATATATATATATATATATATATATATATATATATATACCTGCTTAAATAGCAAACTCATAGAGTGACTAATGTTAGTCTAGCATTACTTGTCAGCTATTAAATTGAAAGAAAAATAAGAATTTCGATTACTGTTTCATTTATACAATTTGGCAGTACGTTCCGCCTCATTTTTCATTTCTCTCTGAGAAAGGACACAGGCGTGTCCGAAAATTCCGATTTTTAACATCTTTCTCATCATGCTTCCATTTTTTTCGTTGTTTTTATCACTCAAATTGACTTAATCGGCCTATTATATATATATATATATATATATATATATATATATATATGTGTGTGTGTGTGTGTGTGTGTGTGTGTGTGTGTGTGTATAATTTGTGTGTTTAGGCAGCGAATTCTCTTTTAGTCATGTCAGATTGAATAAATTACAAACATTATGTCTGCTTATTTTAAAAAAATCCGTTCATACTCATGAATAACCTTCCGTGTGTTGATGTTAAAGGGTAAGAGAAATGTTCTATCGCTGTTTAGATTTCTTTTATTTTCATTTCCCAAGTACTTTCGATATTTTTCCACGATCATCTTCAGGGGTGCAAGTAATACAAAAATACATGTTTTTCATTAATATAAGTACTTTTGTCTCTATTTTCACCCGAAATTAAAGCTAACATTGGAATATTAGAATGGCTCATGATCAGATATAATAGACATTTATTTTTTGTGATATTTAATAATAACATATGTGTGTGTGTGTGTGTGTGTGTGTGTGTGTGTGTGTGTGTGTGTGTGTGTGTGTGTGTGTGTGTGTGTGTGTGTGTGTGTGTTTTAAAGAGTAGAGATGAGCTGCAAACCTGTTTGGTTACAATATGATAAAATATAGTTTTGATGTCTATTATATTTATGGGTTAAAGTGCCTAATATCAGGGAGAGAACGTATGTAAATATAAAAGTAGATATTGAAGTGAACATCCAGAGGCGACAGTCATATTAAACGCAATTGTCATAGACTGACGATTGTGTTTAGCATAAAACAGGGTGAGGCAAAAGTCGAGCACCACAGGGATGATTTATTAAACGTATCATTACACCTGACACATTGTTTTATGTGCAATTCAAAATGTCCAAAAGTTGTTTTATCAAGAGGTAGTTGGTGTGGAACCTGCCTGTTGAATTCATTTGGCACAGATAGGTTTGTCTTTGTAACACATGCCTTCCCATAAATGAACACCAAGTAATGCGCACATCCTTTGTTAGTTTTTATCCATCTTACTTCGTCAAAATTGCTTTTACAAATTAAAAAATATCAAAACAAATTAGACATTTAAAACATGATTAATTAATTAATTAATTAACCCCTATTGTGTGCTAAATTTGCCTGTATATATATATGTATGTGCGTCTGTGTCTGTGTGTGTGTGTTTGTCTGTATCTCTCTCCCTCGAGTGTATGTGTGCAATCGCTTCTATTTGCCAAAAATTTAATGATATCGGAATTTTCTCCA